CTTTAACTCAATGTGTAATGTGGTCTTTAAATTTTTAATTTGTTCAATATCATTCCTGAACTTTTAGTATATGTTCAATTTAGTCCCTAAACTTTATGAAAATATTCAATGTAGTCCTTCTATTAATTCAAGCTCATGGACTATATTGAACACGTATGAAAAGTCCACGGACCACATTGAACAAATTAAAATTTTATGGACCATATTGAACATTAGACTAAAGTTCGGGGACTATATTGAACAAATTAAAAGTTTAGGAACAAATTACATATTGTGTCAAAATTCGGAGGCTGTTTATGTCATTATCTCCTTTCTATTCTGTGGCCGGCACCGAAAGCAGCAGCGACAGTAGCGGAGTGCTGGCGATGGGGGCTTTGAACAAATGGATTCACGAAGAGAATTATCCGGATATTTTTGGGTTTTGTCTGTCCATAACATTCAAAGTAGTCAAGTTAGAAAATCCTTACGTTGTATCATAGCATAAGAGTTCTAATCCTGACACTCTCCAACCCTCGACAACATGGAAACTTCCTATCATTAGCAAGGAGACTTGTCAGGGCGCGCTCGCTCGGCACCTTCGAGGGCCGCCAGAACAAGACCGGCAAGGGTTACGTGCCTCTCTTGGTGATCAACTCGCTATGCCTCTTCATCAGCTCGGTCTCATCCAGCCACCTCCCTAAAACAAAGAGGGAGCATTTTTAACAGTAAAAAATGCAACTGGCTCAAGAATACTGGGAAAATTACCAAAAAAAAGTCTCAAATCCATTGTAATTGTGCCAATTCAGTCATAAATTTTTTGCATTTATGCCGATTCAGTCCATGCGGCCAAATTTAGCTAGCCGATGCTGACATGACGATTTTTTTAATATATTTTTTGAATTTTTATTTTTATTTTTCCTTTTCCTTTTTTTTTTGCCCATAGTGGCCGGTAAGGGCTGTGAAGCCCTCTCCCAGATTTGGACAATAATGACATTTTCCGACTTTAAAACAATTTAGAACTACATTTCCAAAATGGAATTAATTTATAAATAGTTTTTATCAGTACACAATGTGAATGACCTTAGGTTTAATATTTTTTCAATAGAGATATCTCTAACATTAAATCAATTTTTTGAGGTCAGTTATATATGAACCGAATTAAATTACATCACTATTTAGTGATAATGGAGAAAGGGAAAGCAAAAATTGGGAATATTGTTGTTCTGGAATAGACAGCTGGAATTCTTGACCAAGCCAAATTAATCATGACTTGTCTACTTCAAGTCACATTTGTGTTGTTTGGACACGTCGACGTCTGGCCAGGGGAATCACGGATTATCCTCGTTTTGTCCAAGACTAGATCTATTATTTAGAGGGAGGTGACATGGACGGATCGCACACGTTGAAACGGGCGACATCCTTTGTATTCTTGTAAGAGTTGGTACCCAGCATCTTCTCATCCCTTCAGAGTTCGAACCAGCACAGCCTCTCGTTGAATTTTACTACAACACGTGTTTGAACTCCGAAAAAAGAAAAAAACATAAAAAGTTTTGAGCACGTAAATCATTTCCTACCTATTTCACCAAAAGAAAAAACAGTCAAACTGGAGAATTGCGCAAAGTAGTCAAACTTTACGTTTTCCACACAAAATATTCTCCACTTCTTTGCTCTGCGGGCGTTTTGCTTTACTCTTTCTCTCTCTCTCTCTCCCACTCGACCTCACGATGCACCCGCCACTAGTGCCCTGGCTTATCGCAGCAACACTCGGTGTAACACTGACCCGAGTATGCTCAAGCTCGACCCTGAACACCATATCAGATGCTGACAAAATCGTCAGCTTGCCGGGACAGCCCAGGGTCAGCTTCGGCCAGTATGCAGGGTACATCACCGTGGATGAGAAGCAACAGAGAGCTCTCTTCTATTACTTCGCCGAAGCCGAAGCCGACCCGGCTTCAAAGCCTCTCGTGCTTTGGCTCAATGGAGGTAAAACCATCTGGACTGAGTTCGAGTAAATGATGGTGAGAAATGAAACGAGCATGTTGAAAAACACTGGAGTTTGCTTGTGTGTTGGGGTTGCACTCTGCAGGGCCCGGTTGTTCATCCGTCGGAGTTGGTGCTTTCTGGGAGCATGGACCATTCAAGCCCAGTGGAGATGTGCTCCTGAAAAATGACTATAGCTGGAATAAAGGTCAGCGTAAACTCCCTAAACAAAGGCGGGGAAAAAAAGTTAAGCGTGTAATTTTAGCAGCTTATACGCATTTGAACATGTTGTCTCTCCTCGCGAAAGCTTAGATCGATAGGAAACTGAACCAGACCTTGTGTCAGAAATATTATATTCGAGGGTGAATGTGAGATTGATCGCATTTGCTGTGTTGTAGTTCCGACTTTGGAGATTCTGTAATTGGCTAATTCTTGCATTTTTCAATTTGTTTACAGAAGCAAACATGTTGTACCTGGAATCTCCGGCAGGAGTTGGTTTCTCCTACTCTGTCAATACTTCCTATTATAACTCCGTCGATGACAAGATGACAGGTTCTTTTCCTTGCAAATTGCAATATATTTTTAACAAATTAAGGTGCAGCGATGATCTACAGATCTAATCTGAAGCTGAAATTAAGTACTAATGCCAGCTAAGCAATGCTTCCACATTTCAGCAAGAGACAATCTCGCATTCCTCCGCAACTGGCTAGAAAAATTCCCGAAATACAAGGAGAGAGATTTATTCATCACAGGAGAGAGCTATGCAGGTGAACTAGTGATTAAGATTTTGCGAACACCGATTTGCATGGTTGAATGAGTTGGAAGTTCAATGAATGCAGAATTTTCTATCTAATTTCACTCTTACCAGGTCATTATGTTCCACAACTTGCAATGCTCGTGGTGCAATCCAAGTTGTTCAATTTGAAAGGAATTGCTGTGAGTTTGACTGAAAAGTCTGCAAACTTGAATTAGCATCTCACATTCATAGATTGATACCTACTGAGATGGACAAATCTCATGCTCACTGTAGATAGGAAATCCACTTCTTGAGTTCAACACCGATTTCAACTCACGGGCAGAGTTTTTATGGTCTCATGGATTGATATCAGACGCAACCTACGAAAGTTTCAACACAAATTGCAATTACTCCCAAATTGGCAGACAAGCACTGAGCGGCCCCCTCACACCTGTCTGCTCTCATGTGGCCAGCGAAGCATCAAGAGAAATAAGCAAATTCATAGACACGTACGGTGTCACTCTTGATGTTTGTTTGTCGACAGTTTCTTCACAGTCTGCAGCTTTGAATAAGCTGGTGAGCCTCTTCATCCATTCTGATGAATTTTTTATTTTCCCCCTTCACAACCTTTTGAATTTTTGTGATTATGCTGCTTCCAGCAAGAAACAGAGAAGATAGATGTATGTGTAGAAGACGAAACCCTCAAGTACTTGAACAGGAAAGAAGTGCAGGAGGCTCTACATGCTCGGCTGGTTGGAATCTCTACATGGACAGTGTGCAGCGAGTAAGGATCGACTTCACTCCTTGGACCTTCATTTTCTAGAGGCACAAGTTTATGGCTAAATGGCATCGTGACTAATCTTGATGAGTCTTGTCAAAGTATATCCACATTTCCCAATTTCCAGACAAGATTCTCCGTAACTTTGTTACGTTAATAGGACTATATGATTGGTTCTTCCTAACATTAATCCTTCGTTCTTTGACTTGGGTTCTTCACCTTATGACATGCTCCTTGGTCTGAATTCCCTCATAATTCTTGTGTGCTACAGGGTTCTCAGATATGAATATCAAAATCTGGAGATACCCACCATTACGATTTTGGGGGAGCTAGTGAAGTCAGGAATCCACGTTTTAGTTTACAGGTAAACACAAATGACATTCTTCGGAATTGGTATATCACTTCAGGGGCTATTTAAGGAACGGCGACGACGTCTTGATTTTTCATTGAAATATGTCGACAGTGGGGATCAAGATTCTGTTATTCCATTAATTGGAACAAGGACTCTAGTGAACAACTTAGCAAAGCAATTGAGACTGAACACAACCGTGCCTTATAGAGTCTGGTTTGAGGAAAGACAGGTCGGCTCAGTAATAACCTTCATAAACATCAGTCCTCCCATTGATTTTAATAGTTAATTGACGAAACTGAGGCCCTTTCCTTCATTTTTCATAGGTTGCTGGGTGGACACAAGTGTATGGAGGTATATTATCATTTGCGACAATCAGAGGGGCATCTCATGAAGCGCCGTTTTCGCAGCCAGAGAGATCGCTGGTGTTGTTTAGCTCATTTCTGGGAGGGAGGCCATTGCCGGAAGGGCTCTTGTCCGAGTCTGCTGTGGAAAAACGTAATTACTACTAAGTCGTCCTACCAAAATGAACTGCATCTGATTTGATTAGCAGAAAACATCAACTCATCATGTTTTCGATTCGCTTTTCTTGGCTTCTTCCGGAATCAAATGTTTGGCTCCCTAATGCTGCTTTCTGTAGCATATATATTAGTAACAATGCGTGTTTTCCCAGAATATTTTAGTTTCATTCCCAATAGAAATCAAAACACAGGGACAACAACCCTTTTTGTAGTTTTTCAGTTTTCAAGAGGTAAAAATGTTTGACTTGTTAATGTTTCCAGGCACCGAACCTTTTAATGAGATCATAGATAGATGGATAGACATAGGTTATTGGAGTAAGTGGGTATTTTCGACTTGGTTATTGATTTGATGATCATAAATTTGACCAATTCCAGTTAATGGCAGATAGGAATATCACTATTTTCTTTCGGACTTGTTGCTGCTACCTACAATCCACTTAGAGATGACTGATGAGAAGGAAAGCTCATAACTAGCATAAATGGCAACTGGAACGCAGGTCGACCGCTTGTTTTTTTTTTACCCCGGAGAAACTATTATGAAACAGGGAGTTTGATATACATTGGGCAAGAAACGATGGTATGCTATGTCAATGTGTCCTGAAATTTGATGATAACACCCATAGGCTTTGTGTGGGCTAGGATCACAGTGGACTGCTGTATATGGTAAAAAAGCCATGTGAATTCTTTTCGCGGTGAATTTATTGAGCATCTTTTTCGCAATTCCAATGGCAAGACACATCTAGACAAATCACTCAAGCAAAAGCTCATATGCATAAAAAAAAGATTATATGGGACAGTCCATTAAATAAGCATCAGATCCGGGAAGGGATCGTTGCACGCATTACGTGATGAGCAGCGCTCGGATTCAATGCAGCAGAGGCAAGGAGCTCCTCGTCACGTTCAAAGACCGCCATCTCTCGCTCGCCCAGCGTAACCCACGCTTCAATCCCGTCGCGCATCTTCGTGTTCATCAAATATATGTAGTTCTTCATGCTTCTGTGACACGTTGCCCAGACCGGCTTCCCCGACCCGAAGTCGACCTCGTAGAACGGGAACCCGCACAAGCTCGTGCACCGGTACAAGTTCGCCTCCTCCTTCCATTCGCCCATCATGTTCCCCAACTCTGCAATTTCACAGAGAACACGTGAAGACTCATCAATCTATAGATACATGCGCGATACGGGTGGATGGAATTATCACACTATCGGAACTTAATCTGGTTGGAGATTAAGTTGATTAGAGTACTTACTGGCAATTGACTCGCACACCTTTGAAAAGCCCTCGTTTCCTCTGAGACCGCAGGCCTCACGGTCGCGAAAGCTGATCATCTCCTTCCGCATGTTCGAGACCAGCTCTTGCAAGGTCGTTTCGCTGCCTTTGAATGAAATGTTGATGATCCAGGCGAGATTCCCGACATCGATTTCCTGCAAGGCCGGCGACATTCTATTGCGAAGGTTCGCCATGTACTGCAACAGAGTCGGACGGGTAGACCCGGTTACGGACCTTGAAGCCTTGAAGGCACATCTAAGGATGAGAGCCAACACGACCTCGACTCTTGTGAATCGAGTTGGCTCAATGGAACGAGCTGCTTCGGCCTTGAGGCCGGATATCTTGGAATCATGAAACACAAACCTCCTTGTCGCGCAGTGGTCCGTGGGGGCGTAATCCGACAACGTGAGTGGCAACTCCCTGGTCTGCATGAGAGAATCTCCAATAAATCTCGGAGGGGTTAAGCCCTCGAGCCTCTGAGCTGATCTGGCCGACCAGCTCCGGAGGAAGCACGCTATCGAGGACCCGTCCATGAGCTTGTGCGAAGTGTAGGGAGCGACGGCGATGCCGCCGCAGCTGAAGGTCGTGATCTGGACAATGAGCATGCACCCTGATGCGGCCAGATGCAACGTTTCAGCGTGAAAGCTAGGGAGGAACTGGTTGAGCAAGGCTGCCTCGGTTTGGTTGAGAATGTCATTTAGGCGGACGTCAGCTCGGGCCTCGATCCAGTATGCACCTTCATCGTCGCATCTGACGCACGCGCTGCTCCCGACCCGACCGGCTAACGGGTAGAAATCGACGAGGGTTTCGGAGAGAGAGGCTTGCATGCGGCGGGAGAGCGGTTCCCCGCTGCCGTTTCCGGGGCCGGGTTTGGCGTAGAAGAGGAGGAGAGGGGCAAAGGAGGGAGGGAAGAGCTGGTCGAGGAGGGAGAGGTTAAGGGTCCGGAGGTGGCGAGGGGTTGGGGAAGAAGGCTTGATGGTGGTTGACGAGATGATGTGAACTCTCTGCTCCGGCATGATGTTCATCTGTAACTCTCGCTGCTCGCTCTTGAATGCTTTTGTCTGTGCTAATACTTCTCCCAATTCACTCGGTTTGCATATGCATAAATTTTAAGAGCAATACTCTTATAATATAAGTTAAGAAAGTGGGTATTTTAAATAACGCGTCATATTTTAAAAGGTGGACTTACGGGGTCTTGACACGTGGCGCTACGTCTAAGCGACAATTGGAACCTTTTGCATTACTTTCCTGGGGCACTCAATAAAAGTCGGACGTCTTCTAAGTATTTATATCTCCCCTCTTTTGCGTTGAGCCGTCTCTCCTTGTTCCTCTAATTAATTTTTATTTCTCTATATTTCTTAATGTCATTGGATACACATTCTTATAGACAGATAAAATACGTTCATGATAGTATTATCATTTCTTAATTTGAGTTCTAGATAGTTGTTGGACAATTTCATGAAATCTCATCCTTCCGATTTTCTAACAAAACTCATGAAAGTATTTCGCGAAATTTCATCTTTTTCCGACTTTATAACAACTCGAAATTACATTTTCAGAACAGATCCAATCTTTACAAATATTGTTTTTTCACGGATTTCATGTTTTTCCAATATTCTTATCCACACGTGATGCGCATGAGCTTAGGTTTGATCCAATATCTTGGTCTCTGCGGAACGGAAAAAGAATTTCATGTTCTTCCTTCCGAGAATGGAGAATTAGGAAAATCCTATTGATTGCAACTTTCTCCAAACCTTCGAAAAAAGCATTAAAAAAAAAGGGCTCGATTAGTATGACCCCTCTGTCACCCCAGAATGAAAGGAGCGTTCTCGTAGTTTTTGATCTGTGACTTTGTTAAGTGCTTCATTTTATTTTTCCATTGAGGCCGAATCTAAACTTGTGATAGCTGTCGGGGATGTGTGGATTCTCGAGAAGAGGGAAGACGTGTGGTCCCCTTGTAGGTATGTCAACGGTTTGGTTTGGTTCGGTTCGGATTTTCACGATACCCGAATCGTAACCCGAATCAAATATGACCCTGACCGAATAAACACGGTTCAAGTTTCGGGTTTCCTTTTTATTTTTGGCTTCTTTTTGTCTTCCCTATGCACTCTTGCCGAAAATGGCGGCTCCGAGTCCTCGTCTCCGATGACCTCACCTTCGGCTTTTGTGGCGCCCTCGCATCATCACTCCGGCTGAGAGGTCCTCTCTGTCTCTCTCCCTCTCCCCCTCTCCCTCTCGCATCACCACCACCATCCACCACCATCATCATTGCTCTGTTATATCTGTTTAGATTGCTCGCGGATGGGTGAAGAAGACCTGTTTGCTAGAGTTTTAAGCTGCACTGCCGATTGGTTCGATGGAGAAAATGCTTCGCTTGTTGGTTCGTTCATTCGGTGTAGTTGATCTCTCTTTCTGGAGCTGTTGGTGCGAAGGAAGAAGAAGAAGAAAAAAGAGAAAATCCAAAACCTGGCCCGAACCAAGTTGAACCGTCGAACTACCCAACCTCCTTTACTTATTACTCGAACCGAATGAGATCCGACTCGAAAATACCCCGAAGATTTCGGTTCGGTTTCGGTATTTTTTACTCCCCTCTCCAGAGTCGCCCGCATCCCACGAGTGAAATGACTTCTGGAATAGCCAATTGGGTTTCTTAGCCAAGCCAAATTGATTAGTAACTTATCTATATCAATTCACATTGTGTTGTAGGGACATGTTAACTACCTGATTGTGCTTTTTATAGTTTTAATCTAATCTCTTATTTTTATGTTCTATTATTATGAAGTTCCTACATACGTTGGATGTTACGAAAGGAGCTATTTATTTAGTATCTTTGTCATTATTTCATTGAGAATGCTTATGTGACTGCCACTAGTTTACTCTGAAAATAATAGTCTGTTTTGGACAATAAATAAATAAATAACAAATAATTAAACAAACACCATCAAATTTATGTTTCTAGACTGTTAAACGGGTGGGTCGGGTCGGGTCATAAATGGTCCACCCAAATTGACCAATTAACCCGTTTATGACCCATTTATTCATGTGTAAATATCTCGACCCATACCCGACCCGACCCGACCCATATTGCTAAAACACTTTTATATTTAACCTAATTTAGGAATACTTGTTTCTTATGATTTTTTTTTAAAATTATACTACTAAAACATTTTATGCAATACAAAGCTAGTGAAAAAAACTTATAATTTTTTTTAAAATTGAGGTTCTCGTTTGTTTTACGAAAAATGCGACATTTCTAAAAATATTTTCCATAAAGTCATTATCCAAGAAAATAAAAAAAATTAATATTTTTTTATTTTTTAAATCGAATTTTTAATTATTTTTAATTTTTCTTTTCCTTTATTTTTGGCCGATCGCCGCCACCGTGGCCTGGCGACCGACCACAAGGCGAGGCCAAGGCCTTGCCTGGCCTGGGCGAGGCTCCACCTCGCCGATCCGGCGAGACTCAAGCTTGCCGGCCTGGGCGAGCTCGACCTCGCCGGATCCGGGCGAGGTGGAGCCTCGCCGAGGCCGGCGAGCTCGAGCTCGCCCCCTCGGCGAGGTCGAGTTCGCCCGAGGCCGGCGAGCTCGAGTCTCGTCGGCCTCGAGCGAGGCTCCACCTCGCCAGTATCCGTGAGCTCGAGTCTCGCCAGACGGCGACGCCGGAGCCTCGCCACAGTCGGCGAGGGCCGGAGCCTCGCGTGCTGGGCGGCGAGCCTCGAGGTCGCGACCTGGGCGAGCTCGAGGCTCGCGCATCGGAGAGGCTCGAGCTCGCCCGAGGCCGCGAGCTAGAGCTTCGCGCGGCCTCCAAAGAAGGTCGTCCCGCTCTGGTGGCGGTCGCCAGTGGCCGACCACCTCCGGAATAAAATAAAAAGAAAAAGAAAGAAGAGAAAAGAAAAAGAAAAAGAGAAAAAATAATTAAATTTCGATTTTTTTAAAACATTTTTGTAAAAAGGAGAGAGTGTGTGGATGGATCTAAGTACTTAACCCATTTACTAGACTAAGAGGTGGGTTGGACAGGCCCAAACTCAACCCATTTAGACCCATTTATCTTTAAGCTTTAAAATTTAAAACCCATTTAAGGCCGACTCTTTAAAATTAAATGACCCATATATGACCCATTTATTTTTAAATTGGTCATATATGGGTTTAAGACCCATTTTGACACCTCTAGTTTCTGCCATCGGAGAAACGACGTCACCCCACTTCCCAAGTTCCCATGGCAAAAGCATTCCCTTCTTCTTGGCACGGCCGAGTCCGGCTGCCCGTACCTCATTATTACCAAGAAACATTACCTATATAGTACTATGTAGCAAAAAATGAACACATGCATCGCGGATTATCGTCATTTTTTGAGGCAAAGGGGTTGTGGACAAATCGCATACATAGCATGATTTTTCCAACCTTGAAAAGCGGGGATAATTATCCAAAAAGTCATAAATCTATTGTACGGCGGCAAATTCAAACTTAAAATTTTCATTTATGTCATTTTAATCCTAAATCTTTTGATAACTTATCAAATTAGTCCTAAATTTTTTAATTGTTACAATTTAGTGCTAAATCTTTTGATGATTTGCTAATTTAGTCATAAACCTTTTGACAACTTGCTAATTTAGTCTTTACGACCAACTTTGGTTGGAAATCGCTGACGTGGACGTTGGCCATCTTACATAGTGTAGCCGGCATTGACGTGGATACTTTTGCATTTTGTTAAAAAAAATTCCCCCCCCCTTTTTTTTTTTTTTTCCTTTTTTCCCTTTTCTTTCCCTTTGGCCTTGTAGTCGGTACTCTACCGTGGCTGACGACCGGCCACAGGAGAGGGCTGGCGAGGGCCACCCTTACCCTGTGAGGGTTGAGCCCTCGCCTATGGCTGGTCGCCAGCCGTGGCTGAGTATCGGCGACATGCCAAAGTGAAAGAAAAGGAAAAAAAATGAAAAATTTGTTCACGTTAGTGCCGGTTGCGTCACGTAAGATAGTCGGCGTCTACATCAGCGATCAAAAGGTTTATGACTAAATTGACAGATCATCAAAATGTTTGGGACTAAATTGACATAATTGCAAAGTTTATGATTGAATTGGCAGCTGTATAATAGATTTAAAACTTTTTGGACAATTTTCTCTTGAAAAGTGCGACATCCTTTGTATCCTTCTAACTTCTAAGAAGTTGCCAACCAGCATCTTCTCATCCCTGCGAAGTGCAAACCAAGAAATTTTCTCGTTGAATATCACTACAGCACGTGTCTGAACTCCGGAAAAGGAAAAACATAAATGGCCTCCAGCACATAAATCATTTCCCATCTATTTCACACAAAAAAAGAGAAAGAAACCATTGCCTATCTAAACACGAGGTAGCTGCCCCTCGTATAAGACGCTGCGATAATACATCATGTCATGTCGTATGGTCGTTGCATAAAAACTTCGCTCTTCTACACAAAAAACCAAACACTTGTCCTCGTAACTTCGTATGCACTGACTTGGTTAATAAGGAAACAAAAAAAAAAAAACAACAAATGTGTCTTCCAGAAAACAAAGATGCAGAACAAAAGCGTAATCAAAAAATAAATGGGAAACTGGAGAATTGCGCAAAGTAGTCAAACTCTACGTTTCCCACTCAAATATTCTCCACTTCTTTGCTCTGCCGGCACTTTCTTTTTGCTCTCTCTCTCCCTCTGTCTCTCTCGCTCGCGATGCATCTGCAACTAGTGCCACGGTGTTGATAGTTTACTTGTTAGGGAAAATTATCCAAAAAGTCCTAAACCTATTGCACTTTTGCCAATTCAATCCTAAACCTTTTAAGTTTGCCAATTCAGTCATAAACATTTTTACTTCTTGCCAATTGAGTCCATCCGGCCAATTTTTGCCGGCCGGCACTGATAGGGCCGCCAACCATTTGACCAACGCTGAAGTGGCAAATTTTAATATTTTTTTTCTTTTTTTCTGACTTTTTCCCTCTGGCCAGTCGCCGACGAAAGAAGGCCAAAAAAAAAAAGAAAAATCAAAAAATCAAAAAATCAAAAAGTTGAAAAAAATCAAAAAATATTAAAAATCGAAAAAATATCAGCATTGGCCGGATGGCCGA